AAAAAAATAAAAAAAATATCGACATTAAAATCTGTCAAATTTAAACGCACAAACGGTAATTTGTCGTTGAAAACCAGGGGGAAAACGGGCACGAGTCGACAATCGGCATTTGTTATTTATTTATTTATTTATTTTTTTTTTTTTGTCGTCTGAGGCGTCGCCTTTGTGTCGGTTCTTTCGGTCTGAACGGCAGAAGTGTAACACGGTGTGTCGATGTTCGTCCCGAATACTCCGCCGTCGCGTTGAAAACGCTCGAGCGACTCGTGCGACGGCGTGGTTCGGACGTTAGAGAACGCCGTTTACAAATGCCCCGCGCGTATTGTCGCGTAAAGCGTATTCGGCCATTCTTCGGCAAAAGCGTCACGTCGCATCGCGCCGTTTTGCCGGTTCTCTGCCGTTTCGATTCGGTCCTGTTGATAACAGGCGTACGGCTGCACCGTGATTTAAACGGCCGGACGATAGGCGTCTGAAACGCGTGGTTTTTGTTTTTTGGTTTTTTTTTTTTACATCGTCAAACCGATCACGTTTTGAACTTTTAAAATCGTCAAAATACTGTTTCCCGCAAGTAACGAACGGTACGCGTCCGCTATACGAATTACCGCGTTTGCGGTTGCGTAAACGAACGTCCTCGGATCTTTGGTTTTTTTTTTTTTTTTTTTTTATATTAATTTCGTTGTGAACGCGACGCAATTCCGGTGTTGGTTTTCACGCGTTTCGTGTTCGGCCGGTACAACAACGCGCGGTACGCCCGGCAGGCGTGTTCGGCGTGTTCGCCCCGCCGTCCCGGATCGAAACGCCCGTGTCCGAAATCGCCGCAGCCGACGGGAACGTTCGGTTACCCCGGCGGCTGTTTGCTCAGAGTATTCGCGGCGCACGTACGCACGCGCGTCGGAGTTCGGTGTGCCCGCGACGCGAATGTTCGATTTTTCCGCGCTTTCAACGGCGAATTCAACACCGCCCAAGGCGAACACGCGCTGTAAACTATTTACCGGGTGCGATTTTCCGTTTGGATTTCGTTCGGAAACGAAATAATAATATCACGCGGCGTTTCGCGTGGTCCGACCGCGCCGTGACGATGCGTCGACGTAATTGATTTGGGCCATTGCGTTGACGAACGTTGTTGCCGGTCCGCAGCCACACGGGAGTAATGCGTGACAGCCGCCGCGCGAGAGCGGCCGCAACAACAAAAGCGGTAGGAACTTAGTGTACGCGGCGACTTCGGCAACAGCGCGCGGGCCCGATGAAAGTTTGGATTCCCGGAGCGAGAAACCGTCTGTCCGCGGTGATTTGATTCGCGTTCTACGATCATTACGAATTATTACGACGACGGGCCGCGGGCACGTTGTTTTCACCTTTTAAATTCTGACGGAGGATTTTTCCGCGATCGCGTTGCCGAAACAGAAACGGGTTAATGTCCTGAACGCGCGTCGCCCGCGCTCGATCGAGACACTGCGCGCACTGTTTGACGCCTAGTGTAATCCCCCCCCCCACCCCCTTCTTCCCTTCCATTTTACACAGAGATGGGAGGGTGGGCTTCTTCCGTTTCGCAATGCGATACGCGTGTAAAACGGGTTCCGACGGTTTTTCCCGGAATAAACCGCGTTTAGAACGGGCGAAAAATCGAAAAATGCGCGTTTTCAATAGCTAGCGAAAACCGCACGTTCGTGAACCTCATTTGGTTTTCGTAATTTTTAACAGAGCGAATTGCTATCGTATTTGTAACGGGTCGTTATTGGGCACTGTCGTCGTAGGGTTCGCAACCGACAACGGCGCCCCGCGGATCCAGTCGGTCGGTTTTCGCGTGTCACGGGTTGCGGCGTTGCGGTCGGCGTGCATCAACAGAGCACGCCACCGTCGCAATATAATTTCGCAATCTCGGTCCGACTTGACGGATAGCCATAGCGCCGTAGTGAAGACGACCGCACGGAACGCGAACGGCGGCGTTCGAATCGCAGAGCTTAAACCTAGGGGGGGGGGTATTGACGGAAGGGAAAGGGGGGCAGTTGAAAAACTGAGCCTTCTAAACCGGTACAAACTTTAAGACGATTCGAAATGAACACCCGCACGTCGTGACATTTTTCACATTTCCAGCGCGAACACCCACTACGGAACCGCGAACGAAAATAATAAACGGAAAATCCAGTTTATTCGTGCGAATTATAATTGGTAATTGTTGATTACTAGGCTTAGGGACTTTATCGCATATTTTTTTTTTCTGAATTACGTAAACAGTAGCAGAGTCGAACCGAAATCCTGTTCGCGTCATACAGAATTCTAAATCCAAAATCAACGTAACCAAAAATATTTCTGCGTGTTTTAATGTTTTTCTCGCATCCATCAGAGCGTACGTCAAGCAGAATGCAGTTTTCAAACGCTCATAGCAGGCCGATTAATGAAACGTTTATAGATTTGTTTCTAACAGACGCGAGCGTGTTTCCAAACACGGCGTTACGCCGCTATATTTTCGCGAAAACGTCATGAGAAAAAAAATAAAAAAAATAAATAAATAAATAAACAAACAGTTACAGCGGTCGGAAACCCGGAACGGACGCGGCCGTAACTCTTTACCGCCCGCCGAAAACGCGTACTCCCCATCAAACGCCCGCACTGTTGGCGCGTCTCTGCACGCCGAACTCCAATCGGAACGGCGCCGCGGGTAGTCGCGCACCTGACCGAGAGTAACGCAATTTCACCGCGTCGGCCTGTCCGAGACGTCGCGCGAACCGCTCGGGGTTTTCGCCGCGTTCCGCTGTTCCGCATTAATTCGCGACGAGTCGCCGCCGGCGCAACAACTTCCGTCCGCGTACGCGCAGAAAACGAGTCCGCGTTTCAATTAAAACTGGCCAAAACTTTCGTCCGTATGCATACACACACACACGTACTCGCATACGTACACACGAAACGCGTATACACCCACCCGATGTTATTTTGCGCGCGCGCGCCCCGGCGTCCGGGTCGTACGGTTTTCGTTTACCCGTGTAACTTTTGCCGCGGTTTTATCGGAACGGAATTGGCCGCGCGACGGCCTGTAACCCGCGGCCGGACGGGATATTTTTCGTTTTCGATCGTTTTACCGTTTGACTATTCGCGCATTATCGACGCGCGCGCGTACGGCGGCGACCGGTGGAGGGCTGGGCGAGAAATCGACGGAACGGAAGTGCCCGGGCGGAACGCGTCTTCGCGCCGACACGCCGCACGGCGTAAAAAATTTCGCGTCCGAGAATACGGAACGGGAAACGTCGCGCGTCAAGAGTCGATCGGACGGGAAAAACCGAAAAACAAAAAAAAAAAAAAAAAAAATATTTACACATTATTAATATTACGTTTCCGCGTGACGCGTTCGGTCCACGTGCCGCGCGGGGGCCGGGATTACGGGATGTTCGCACGGAAAACTGTCGTGTTAATAACAACGGCACCGCGACAACAACGACAATAACAATAACACTGTTAACGACGGTCGTGTCCGCGTCGCCGTTCAAGGACGCGCGCGCGTCAACCGTAACAACGTGACCGGCGATACCCGGGATTCCCTATTACGCCGATCCGCCGTGATTTTTTTTTATCGCTCTGCGCGATACGCAGCTGAAAAAAAAAAACAACGCGAAAAACCCGCAAAAACCGCCGTCGCGTAACTCGGACGTCGGCCCGTCTCGCGCGGTTTTTCCGGAAAACGTTTTTCCGTCTCCTCCGCCGTAGTAACGTCCGGAATCCGGATTTTCCGGACCGCCCGGGATCGCGTTTCCATATCGGACTCCGCGAACGATTGGCGGATACGCGACGAGCGAGCGTGTTGGCGGTTGTAATGCGTTTTGTAACGAAAAAAAAAAATACGTCGTCGTCCGTTTTGTTCGTCCGGAGCCGAGCGAACCAAAACGGATAGAAACAAATTACCAAACTTCCGGCGAGCAACGTTCTGTAACGGCGTGTGTGCCGGGAATATTCCCGACAAATTCCCGTGTACTGGTGTTGTTGATTTCGTTCGGGAACACGCCCGCGTCACTATGGCGCGCAATCGGAGATCGGCACGCGCGTAAAAATATTTTCGGTCAAATATTCCCGGGGCGACTGCCGGCCCGTTATTCGGTATTTATTTTTTTATTATTATTATTATTTTTTTTTTATGCGTTTTGCTTGGTCGGCTGTCAATGATGCAAATACGCTTATTCGATACGCTTCTTCCCGAAACGACATTCTGCGTGACGATGACGTCTCGAAATTCAAATTCAAATATGTTTTACTGACAAGCCGATGTGAGAGGCGTTTGGATTGAAAAAATAAATAAATAACAATAATGCGATTTTCATTTTTAATAATTTAGTTTCGTTTGCCGTTGAAAGGACGTGCATGCTATGGGGTTTACCGAGGCCCCTTTCTCACCCGAAAAAGTTTTCTCACTAATTTGCCAATTGAATTCCGGACCTTTTTTAAAATGTCCCCCCCCCCTCTTCTGGTGGTTCTGTTATAAACAAATATTTTGAAAAGAGTCTAGTGTTAGGAACAACAATATTTAGATTGTTAAACCGATAAATTAAACGTATGTGTTAATAAAAAATAAAAATCGAATGAATAGGAAATCCGTTATACATTTGTTTTAGCTGAATGTTAATTCTAATTTTAGAATAAAAAACATACGATAACAAACATATGCTGAACACGTGCTTATTATCAATGATATTATGAAACAACATAAAAACGGTTAATGATAATAATAATATAATCAGAAAAACGCTTAGATTAGAACAAATAATATTATAACTTACCTACAAAATAGTTCGGCATACAAAACTAATAACAGACAACTCGATAGAATCAAAAACTGTTATAATAGATCTCTAGTTTCGAAACGTAGCACTGCCCTGTACAAAGTTTAAATCGTTTTTTGGACGTAGGATAAAGCAAAACAAACGAACGTAGGACGGTTGGCGGCCCTACGCTCTGCATCTATCGCGACAGCATATTTGTGTTTGGCGGGCACAATAGTGTGCCGTTAGTTTTAGTGTTAGAACGAATTGATCGATTATCAATCTTTAAGGCGAGCACGTGGGCGTTTTCTTCGTGACAATAGTCGATGCACTCGTATGTGGCTTTTTAAACTATCGAAAAATTGGGCGCACAGTCAATGTTCTTGCCTTTGAGCTCGACAATAGGCCAATTTTCGCTCTAATATCAAAACCAATACCAAAAAGTCGTCCTTGCCGAACGCGAATTCGGTCCGTGACACCGCGTTCTAAAGAACGCGTAATAATATTGCCGTCTCTGTCTTTCAAACGGACAATTTAGTGAAAATGTGTTTTTGCAATCAGCACTCAGGATACAATGACTAACTGAAAACAAAAATTGTTTCGTCAAATTTTAAGACTACATCGTTTAATAGGATTCTACGGGGGACTTTTTTCAACGTGAATTGAATTGGGAATTCAATGCGTATCTGCAATAAACGATAAACCATTGTTAACAAAAAACGATTCCGAGCGGTGGTCGGTCGATAGTGTTGCTTTGCCAATGACAACCTTATTTTTATTCTTTCAATCTTTTTCGACCTAAAGAACCAGATTTTCCACATTCTCTCGAATATTAATGGGAATTTCGAAAAATGACCCCTCTAATGTACCGCCCCGAGAACATTTCCCATCGGTAAAGGCGGTATATTTGATACATTCGGCGTATGCTCTCCGGTAGAAAAAGTGTTTACATAAAAAAAAAAAAAAAATTAAAATTAAATTAAACATCGTTGTAAAAGCAATAAATCCCTAGCTCCTCTCAGAATCCAACGAAAAAAATGTTCAACGCACGAGTGTATGCGAAACATATATCGGAAAAACACGGCGAACGCGGCGCGCATTGAACGTAGTAAGTGGCCTTTGACCCGGCGAAACGGAATTTCGCGTTTCAGGTCCGTTCGATCCCGAATGTTGGAAAAATACGAACACGCGCGTTTTCTATATTGCCCGTTACCGCGCAGACAGACGCGGCAAACGTTATTGCGCCCTCTCGGTATTAATTTCCGAACGTTTTTTTTTTCGTATCGATTATGCGCGCACGTAATAATAACGTAGTAACGATTTATCCGCGCAGTGCGGATAATACATTATGACGCGGAGTGACATATTATTATGGCAAAATGGATATTTACCGCGGTTACGTCCGATCGTGCATAACAACATTATTATTATTACCATCGCCGGTTACGCGATTTGCGCAATACCGCCGTGCACATCCGATTCGTTATATTTCATTTGCATTGTATGCCCCCAGAACACCTCGGAAACGTGAATCAATCGTGAAACGGGCGCGCGCGTGTGTGTGTGTGTGTGTGTGAAAGTTACCGGTTTTACGGTGTGGAACTTATTTTCATGTAATATCGTTACATTACGCGGTGTGCATAATATTATAATAACTACAGAATCGGTTTTAAATTATAATCGCGGCTTATCGAAACCTTTAACCCGTCGGCGCCGTAAATATAGGTAACCTGAATACCTGTGGACATAGGTTTTTTTATTTTTTTTTTTTTCAATCGATTTTTATAGCCCGAAAATCATGCGTTTACGTACCATAATATACATTAAGGACAAATATCGTCTACCTTGGTTTTTCAGACCGGAGAACGTTAAACAAAAAAAAAAATACCGTTTAATTTCGGAAACGCGTCTATTTCCGATAAATATTATTTACCATTTTACTATTAATGGCCCGGAGTATTCTTTTGGGAATGTTTATTTTATCAACGGTAATTTCGGTTTTGATCCTTTACGCCTCTTACACTCACATATTCTATAACAATAACACACAAAGCCACGGTACGATAGTAAATGTTATCTCGGATAATGGATACAACGAGTACAATATTTTGTATTGCGATATTGAAGTCAACGTGTCTCTAGTATCGAGTATACGCTGAAGGACCACGGTCATAGATGCCCGAGAGGGGGAAAGGGGACAACATCCCGGTCATTCCCTCGCTTTGAATACAGTATATTATTTCCGTTCGTTTTCCGCATTTTAAATAGTATAACATCAAATGCGTACGCGCAAAAACGCTTGGGCGTCGGGTTATATTTTGTTTGGTTTTTATTGCCGTTGCAGTGAATTTTATAATTATAATTATCATTATCAATATTATAATTAATCCCGTGGAAAATATAAAACCACGAAAAGCCAACGATACGACGACGTTCCGACGGTGAAATTCCGATTATATTTTTTACAAAGAGAGTGCGCCGTGTTTTAATGCCCTGGAAATCATTTCGAATGGATTTTATTTAATATTGTAACGTAACGGGACGAAAGCATAATTGCTTTTAACAATGGCGTTCGTATCACGATAATATTTGCATATATATATATTTTTTTTAATCGTTTTATAAACTTGCAAATTTGAATTTTTATTTTTTCACAACTCGTCATAATATTATAATAATATAATACACGCACGAGTAGCACCTATATAATATTTATATATTATTTATTAGGACCCAGCCATAGGATTATACAAAAGTATTTAATCCTGCAGTAACCGCGCGTGTTCGTATGCGAATATGAGAGTGTAGTGTATCTGCGGGATTCGATAATTTCCTATGCGATTTCGTGGGTATTTGTCAAATCCTGCGGGTACGGACGATATAAGTACTATAATATTATACGTATAAAAAAAAAACAAAAAAAAACCGAATTGTCAAATGAAACAAACTGCATTCAATTGTGTAAGCCTGGAAGATATTTGAAATCGATTATCTACATATTTTTTATTGTTTCAATCGAGGCCGAACAATACTGATATTCAATCGTTTAAGGTCAGATAATTGAAACGAAATTGAAACGAGCAACATGTTTTCTATTTTATTAGTTCACCAATAAATAAGGTAAAAATCGATTAAAACAACGTAATTAATTTTCTTCTTCTCCTCCGTCTTCATCCCGATTATTTCGCATCGGTCAATCTCGTTCTAAACTCCGACCCGTCCGTGCCGCGTATCGTATTCTCAATCGCGCCCTCGGTCTTTCTCTTCCCCGTTTTTCTCCTGAAACATACGAAATCCATTTCAATGTCGAAAACACGTAGGTATAATATGTATACGTATATTGCCTATAGGTACTCGAATGAAAAAAAAAAAAAAAAAACCGAAAAAAATTAATTGAATCGTCGGCGCGGGCAATCAACGGAATCGGTACAACGCTAATGAGGTCCAACACCAATGCCGTCCGAGAAAATATTTTATAATAATTGCACGGTAAATTAAATTTTCAATGGAAACTAAAACATTATATTACACGTATCGTACGGTCCGTTTCCGCGGACTTATCACGAACATCACCGACTTGACCTCTAAATCGGAATTCGAGAAAACATAAATACATAATTATTAGTACATCCGGTTTGGATATGAAAAAAATAAAAAAAATATACGGTATATTACAGTAATACACTCGCCGTAAACCGATAACATTCTTCTACACGTTATTACGTATCGTATTTTATTATTTAAACCGCATATTGTACGGAACGCGTACGCCTAATGATGCCGAACGCGATCGAACAACACAATACCCGCGATGTCCGAACGTGAATTTAACGTGCGTACGCGAGCGTGGCGTCGTAGCGCATACCCGCGCTGACGCGAGAAAAAAAAAATAAAATAAAAAAAAAAAAAAAATATCCGAAATAACAAATCGCGCGATCAAATATGTTTACCGCGGATACGCGTTGCGTGGCCGTCGTCGCTATCGCGGTACGGCGGAAGCGTCGGACGATCTCGTTCCGAGGGCATTTTCCAAAACGAGCGAACGAATCGCCCGAGTTAAAAGTCGCGGCGATTTCAATATTTTCGACGCGGTTCGAACTCGCCCGACGGTCCGACCCCGATACAATCTTGTTTTTCGTTTTACACGTTTGTTTCAACTCGACGTGCGTGTAAACGGAACAATCAAAAAACGGGAAAAAAAAAATTCAACCTCCGCCTGATCGGTGGTCCGTTTTGTTTAGCGTTCCGAAAGAAAACGTTCTCTGGGGCGGTACTTTAGAGGGGCCGTTTTTCGAAAATTTTTATTAATATTCGAGATGACGGGGAAGACCCCTGGTTCTTCAGGTTGAAAAAGATCGAAAGATTAAAAATTATGTTGTCATTGGCGACCGTTTTTATTTAATTTTTTGTCAATTTAAATCTTTTTTAAACAATCGTCATTGTTGTCACGGAAACGCACATTGTTGTAATCATTTTACCGTAGCATGACATATATATTGTTGACAAAACAACGCTGTCAACCGAACTCCGCCCAGAATCGGTTTTTCGTTACCTTTATCGTTGCTCAGGACATACATTAAATTCCCGTCCGTATCCTACCTTCCCAGCTTTCCACAAACAACAGTGGTTGCACTCACGTGCCAAGTATGTCCGTCTTTTTCTTTCTTCAGGCTTTATGAGCCTTTTACACTCTTAGCCGCCAAAACTACTTCCTCTCTATCATAATATGCCTCTGCTCCCAGTTACCGGTCCATTCCAGTTTCTTGTAATAATTCCTTGACAAAAAATTATTATATACTATTATTGAATTATTTCATAGAATAGAATATATAATATATACAATTTCGTTATAACACATTTATACAAATACATCAAACCGACTGCGTTCGGTCACTTGAATATTCTGGATCTACACGGAGACAAAAAATGAAAACAACAAAACCACTGTTGAAGTAAAACAAGTGTTGACGGACCGCCTATTGCCTACCTCCGGTCGACACGTTAATTTTTCGCAAATTAATTTGACCGAGTCGATATTATTCTATCGGTAATTATAGGTTACGCGCGTAGATTTTTTTTCGTCTACTAATTAAGGGCAGTCATCAATTCCGGAATAAGGGGAGGGACAGACGGGCCCACTGTGCCGTTATTTATAAAAAATGTCGGTTGGAAATTTACATAAAACGTTTATAAAGAAGGCTGACTTTCGAATTCGGTCCTGGGGCCCCTTTGTTCGGCCTTGGTGTTAGTGTAATAAACCAGGCGATTAAAAGACTCGGCATTTCGTCTGCATAACTAACGGAACGTGTTACAGGTTAAAATTCCCATCGGGCGGGCGGTAATTTTATTTCGAAAGTACACATAATAGGTATAACGCACATGTATTTATCGTTGTCGTCAGATTTTTGTTTGTTGGAAATGAAATTTCGATTAGTTAATTTTTATAATAATAAAAAAAAAACGGCGAACAAATTACTTTTGCTTATCATTATTTATTTTTTTTCCAGAGATTTTTAATATATAAATCATCGAATTATTCCCGGAATTCGTTTATACCGTAGTTTTATGTTGTAATAATAATATTACAAACGAAATATCGTTTTCGTTTTAAACTGTTTAATCTCTTTTTTTTTTTTTTTGTTTGTTTTAAGCAAGTTTTTTATCGGAGAAAAATATTGGTTACCTTGATATTTATGAGAAGTATTTAATATTAAAAAAAAAAATAAAGTACCTTATTATACGTTAAGATAAGTAAAGATAAGTAAATAATTAAATAATTGAAGATTTCTGTAGGTAATCGAGCGCTGTAACAATGAACGAAAATAAAAAAAATTATAATAACAACAAAGGATGTTGCACGGAAATTATTATAATGCTAATTATTACGCGTTCCGACAGTTTACCGCAATTATATTTATGAAAAAAAAAATTATATATATATGAATAGTACATAATGTGATAATCATATTGTACACTCGACGATAGTATTATAATTGAACGAATTCGTTTTTGTCGGTGAACCATTAACGAGTGTGAAATTAATCGATAGGTAATTAAAAACATTAAATAAATAAAAAAAAAAAAAATAATAAAATGATAAAAAAATCGAATACCGTACGGTTAATTAATAGGCGTGCAACCTACTTATAATTCGGAAATATTAAACTGAACCTTTTTCGTTCGTCCCCATTCCCATTATTATATCCTTGTAGGAAATTGACTTCTCTATACACTGCACTGCCAATATCATGTACGTTTTGGCGGTTTTAATTGAAAAAAAAAAAATCGTCCATTAACTCCTCTCCCGCCGAAAATCACTAAAAAGGGTACCGTAATATAAAGTGACGACGACACTATCAATTGGTGAGGGTGGGGGGGGGCAGGAGAAAGAGAAGGAAACGGCCCTCCAATCGTCCTCTGTCCGGAGGATATCCGCCGCGAGTGATACACTGATACACGAATATCGGTTTAAATGCGTGCGTTTTGGCGGCGAGTATATAGAAAAAGATTAGAATATTTTAATAACGGGCGAGAAATGTACAGACTACAGGCCTTTGTCGTTTCAAATCGACCGGCCCGCGACTTCGGTCCCGACGATTTTATCAAAACCGACATCCCGGATGCGATAAAACGCAGTTTCGGTCAGAGGTTTCTGTCCATCCGACTACGACACCGTCGTGCGCGCGCTACACGGTGTCGGCGGTATCGCATTCCGCCCGGCGTTCCCGCAGCTGACGTACCGTAAACGCTGTACGGAGCGGACCGCGACGCCGTCGTATTGTCGTAAAAAATAACGTTCGGCCGTTCGTCGGTTTCGGAGCGCGAAAAAACACTCGACAAAACCGACGGGGTTTGTTGTTTTTTCGTTTTTGTCCTCTTTACTTCAGATCGGATCGCGGAATTTGCGGTGTCTGCGTTGCGCCGACGTCGGCGGACCAGACCGCGTACCCGGTCAACACGACGCGCGTGCTACACCGACGAAGAACGCTACGGATTTCCGACCGTAAAACGATATAAATAATACCGGTTATTACCTATTGGCCGTGTATAATATTACGAATCCGGGTCGGCGGTTACCAGTGTACAATATCAAAACCGATGTCATAATATTGTGTAGCATAACGCGCGCAGCGGTCATGATTTTAACGCAGACCGGTATTGTAAAATACAGGCGTACGCATATTTCATATTATTTTTTTTTTTTTTTAATACGGACGATGAAGAAAAATTGCGGCGGCAAAGAAGCGATCGCCGGTCACGGGCGTCGTGTCTGCGCGCGATGGTGAGACGCGCGTGTGCGCCTCCGGGCGGGTCGAGCGTTCCGCAACAGGTGACGAATCGATCGGCGGCGCGCGAAAAATCGGATCGAGCAGAGGTCTGCTGCGTCGTCGGAGGCCCGGGACAGGGGACGTAATTTAATTTTATAATGTATACGTGTAATACTGCGGCTGTATAGATAGAGCCGCAGCGCTGTGTATCTGTATAGCTGCAGTTTTACCCGCGAAGTATTGAACGGAAATAAAAGCGAATAAAAACGTGTCTCGCCGCGCGTAAACGATTGATTATGATAAAATAAAAAAAAAAAGGGACAAAAAAGCCGATGGGCGTGCCGCCGTTTTTACGGGGGGGGGAGGGGGGTGGGTGAGTCCCACAGAGTAATTAATTTCGTATCTGTATACGCGATTATAAGCCGTCGGTAACGAAAAACGATCCCGAACCCGGGTATTGTTTTGATCGTATTTTCTCCTTTGTCGCCAACAGGTAACCCCGCAGAAATCGACAAAACTGTTACGGAAAATTACCGACATTTCAAATGTATTGAGAAAACTACAAACGAAATCGAAAAACACGTCCTCCTCGATCTTTGCTCCGCGGTCGACCAGCCAGAGTACACCTTCGGCAGTCCGTGCTCGTAGAGACGACTAAAATGGGCCCGGGAGCAGGAATCGGTGTCGAGGGTTAATTTTTTTTTTTTTTATACTTAAACGACGGGGCGTTCGTTTAAAATAAGAGACGTCACTGCGACGCAGACAACAACGGGACACCACTGTATTAATTTCCCGTGAAACCATTATGGTAACGAAACATATGATGATCCTGTTTGTTTTCGTGTTATTCAATACGTAAAAACACTCAATATTCGGATGTTTTATTTGATACCGTGGTCGATAATATGCGTGTACAAAGCAAGTACAATTATAGATAACCATTAAAACATATTATGCGCATATTTACTTTTTATTTTTCATTGCAATCTATATTTGTTCAATATTTATCAAGTACTATATTTATTTTAATTAGTGTTCATCAATTGTTTGATTTATGTTTTATGTAACGTGTATCTGTGCAATATTGTATCGGCATTTTCAATTCGGTATTAATATTAAAGTGTTTACTGTTTAAATAAACTGTACGGTTCGACCGGATAAAAATAAATAAAAACCGCTTCATTTCAAAACCAACGTACCTTCTCAGTTCCGCATCAAAGCTAAAACATTACCTTAATTAATTAACTGATACATAAATATTTTTATACAGTTTAAAACGTATACACAATCAAGTAGCTGTGTACATTAAATACGTGGTACACACTTTAAAGTAGTATTCATTAAAACCCTGATAAATATCAACCCATTTTCAAACTGTTAATCCGATCGATCAATTTCGACCCCGCGAAACGTACAGAAAATCATTGGGGAATATTTATCAAAACGCGTCTATATTCAATGACCGTATATACACGGGTATATTATCAACAACGTGTAGTTAACACAAGCAAGGTAGATGTAAAAAACATTTTTAAAAACGTTCTATTAATGTTTTTTTATAATAAACGGATGTACTTCCCACGATGGGTGAGCAACTGTTGTACGTGAGAAGCTAGGAAGGCAGGATAAACAGAAATTTAATGTATATCTGAACGCATTGATTAATCACTGCTAACGTAAAAAGATTCTGAGTGGAGTTCAATTATACGCGTTTTGAAATTCTTAAGAAAAAAATTCTACATTACAATCAATTTGTATTTTTGATCGCAAAGTGCGACTTATAATAAACTTTTTGTTAAATTTTCAAGCATTTTTGATTGGTTTAACAGTGATATCCACAGAGTACCTACCAAATAAATAACGTAAAAAAACGCGGAAAATTAAAATGTCTTTTTTCCGTAAAAAAGCGGTACGTAGTTTATTTCGGCGTGTCGGGTGAAGGTGTTGGTGGTTAAATCCGTCACTGCTAATAAAATGCTTTTACTGTATAATTCCAAATCGCTTCAAGCGTATTTTTTTGGATTCAGTGAACCCATCAGTATCAACCGTCGGTATAAAACATCGCTCACGTATAAAACGGTCGTCGCTTGCCATTCAATATCGTTTCGGTATAATACAAGAGTTATTCGGCTTTCTCTCCCTCCAATTTCGTCGTCGTACAATATACTCCATACGTCTTTACACCAAACCTTTACCGAAAACTCACGGCCTTCCAAACGCGTATTATGTGTACGTGCAATTCCCGGGGCACAGTCGAACGATTGTCGTTAACGTCGATACTCGATCTTGTTCACATGGATTTATGTAATACTGGCGTGATGAAAAAAAAAATGGAAACAAATTGGTTAAAACGTAAAAAAAACGGGGAAATTGTATGGCAATAATTATTTGATTATTTTCGATTTTGTTTTTTGTTTGTTGTTCGGTTAAACGTAATCATAGAGACCTGGGATGTTTACAGATTACTTCTAGTGGATTTTTTTAAACGTGGTAAAATCGCGGTTTACACCATTGTTTATTGTTTGTTAAGCTATTCGTAGAAATTCTTCACCTTTGAGTTTAATTTGTTTTAAACCGTCATAAATTAGTGGTAAGAAAAAACAAATTCGAGCGCAATAAAGCGGTTTGTTTTATTTTTATATGGTTTTTTAAATCTTAACGGAACGGAAATGGTAAAAAATATCACGGCATTTCAAAACGTTTAACCGAACACTTCATTCAGGATCGTATTTCGTTAGTGACGATTCGTACGGCGATCGCGTATACAAATCGAATAACTCCGCGTCGTCTTCGTTCTCGGTTTTTCGTCGTACACACCGGCGTCACAGCAGTGTCGGTTCGTTTTTTTTTTTTTTTTTTTTTTATTTTACACTCACGAGAAACGAAACGAGTGTAATAATAATAATAATAATAATAATTGTATTCAAAACATTACGTCTGTTTCGTTACGACGTTATTGCGAGAGTACTGAGATGATGATACGCGCGTTAAACAAATGGGCAGGTAACAATTTACCGGTTAGAGGGTATAGTGGATTATAATGTAATGATGACACTCGCGGAGTTTCGATGTTATTATACCACGTGGTATACAACAGACGAGTACCGTATTATTTCGTACGGGTTACTCCGTCTTCAACCTTTTTTTTTTTTTTTTTTCGAGACTCGTGACCCATTTTCCCAATTGCTATTTTTTGGCCAGCGACTAGTGATTTTTCGTCTCTTATAATAATAACAATAAAAAAAAAATACCCTAGTTTTGTAAGTACGCAAACAAGCGGATTGTTCGGTTACTAATAATATAATATATTCGATCGATTTATAAGCGTAACGATTTAGTTTTGTAAAATCAAAATCGTGTAGGCGTTCGTAGTACGTACGAGTAATGATATCGTTGTATTTTTCAAACGATTAAAACGACATAGCGATCCGAAATCGCGTGATCTGCGGGACTGCGAGACCCACGAGACCGTTCCTGGGCGTATTTGCTCAAAACCGTACATCATATCGTAACCGATTGTTTCCGTGATTGAGCAAATAACCCCTCCCCTTGCTTGTTATAAAGATAACAAGTTATCGTTATTCTTTACTATAACGCGATGTTATTCGCACGTTTTTTCATTAATTTATAGTTTATACCGTATTAATTTTTTGCTGTGTATAATGAACCATATAGAAACGACGACGCCACGTGATAATGATAACGCGCGATAACGAGTTACCGCGGGACTTTGACCTATCAGAAACGACAGGTTCCGAGACTGCTCCCGAGGTACAGCTAAACATTAAATTACATAAGTATACTGCGCTCGAGTTTTTATCATGAAAAGGTGACACTTAAACTGCGCCTGAACGCAATTTTAAAAGTGAATAGCATTAAAAATGAAATAAACAAAAGATCACAAATTTGTTTTTGAAGGTTCGAATCATTTAATGATTCACGGTTGTAATTTATATTTTGTTCTGTTGTTCCGTTTTTGAAAATGTTTTGGAAATTGTTCACTGTCGACATCGACACTTAACCTCACCCGAACTTAGAGGTCGATTAATTTTGTGAAACTTAAAAATTGAAATTATTTTCAAGCTGTGCGGCCATCGTGACTTAACTGAATATTAAATCAATAGGGCACGAGTACTAACAGACCGACGGAGCGTATAAAGATTAATATCAATAGTGATATTCGATAACGGGTCGGTATTTTCAAATTTCCCGAATGCATAGTTTTTATTCAGTCTTATTCTGAATATTTTAAGTGTTTGCGAGTGTCGAATTCGTTTGGACAGAAAATGAACCCGAATTGTCGTAAAAAAATATGACAATAACAAATGGGTCGCGGTTTGCATTGTACCTTTTTAATATGGATAAAAAAAACTCGGGCGTCGTTTTCGCGCGCAGTTTACGTATGCCCCCGAAACGGTGTACTGTACGGAAAAACGCTTCCGGGGCTGCGCGCCGCTATCAAATTACTCCAGGACGAGTTTTCCCGGGGCATTCCGCTCGTCCTCGGCGTCCTCTCGCCCACCCGTCCCGCGAGCGTGCGCGTCGCGCCGTCAGTGGGACGTGCGGGCGGCCGGGAATCCTCAGAGTCCCCATGCATACGTAACGATAGTAATAACAATAATATACATATATATTATTGTGATAAAACATTATACTGTTGAGAAATTCGAAATGGGTTTGCTTGCGACACGTTTCATTATAATAATATCGTTATTGTTGTTATTATTTTGTGTCTTCTCCGCCCAGCCGCCGCCGGTCGTTGTCGTCGTGACGGCCGACCTATCACGAGCGCCGCCGCCGCCGGCTGCCACTTCAAAATCAACGCGGCCGGAATCTGTACACGAATGATGATTTTTCACCCGAAATTCCGCGCAGTAATCTGCGGATATTTTTCGATTGGCCCGGACAGGTTTTTTCCGCCCGAACGCTGCCTTTTAATCCTACCCGCGACATTATTGGGTATCTGCGCAGTATAACGCAGTGTTCCGGCCGGGAACTATTTTTTACGATTCCTATAACGAGGGGAAGGGGAGGTACGTTTCGTTAATATAATATGCACTTCTCGTTTTCTCGTCCACCCTATCGAGATGGGTACTACATGAGCAGTAATTCGACCCGGTATAATACACGTTTCATAAATACGCGATAAAATTGATATTATAACAACATTATCAATAAATAATAATAATAAAAAAAAACACTAAAAAACTGTAGCGACGTAACGAGGTAAATTCCGTTACGTAGCCAAAGAAATGCGGATAAAATTTGCACGGGGAACACGGTAAGTAGTAGTTTGTTTTAGTAAGTACACGAGTCAAAAGTGTTATAATATATAATACGATAATACGAGAACAACTAAATAATTCCGCGTGAAAATTTAATTTTTAATATCCGAAGTGCCCGATAAAAATTGCATATGAATAGCATCTACGTCACATAGGTAAGTTGTTTTAATATTGCATCTCTTACGTGACACGTTTTAAAACATAATATTGATTTACGACCACGGGTTCTCGTTCGCGTTTTATGATCAATATGGTAGGCAAACATCTATGGTGAAAAAAAAAAACACGAAAAAAAATATGAATGGGACGTAATCAAAACCCGGGAGTGCAAAGAACTGTCATTTTTGATTTGTACGTGTACGGCTTTTGGGATATGTAACCTTGTACTCTGTACTTGTACTCAATCGGAATATTGGATTTTGTGTGTCGATAAGTCCAAAGTGCACTTCAAACCAAACGTGTAATTTTCTGGGATAATTTGACAAGCTCGAAAAACGTTTGTTTTAAATTCAAATTATGTTTACATATATTATACAAAAAGAAATTAGATTTTACCACGCCAAAGATTAAGTCGTAAGTGGAAACTAGAATAGCGAAATCAATACTTTTAAAACTTTCAGTTTTTTTATTTTTGTAACTTTCATTCAACAATCTACGGACAGACATATTTTATCTATTGTTTTTGTATAATATCGGAAAGCCATACAGATTTTTTTTAGCGAAATCCGCCTGAGCAAAACTATATGCGTAATGAATGTATAATATTATAATGATAATAGTAATGATAACGATAATAATGTGTATAATATCATATACCTACCTATGTACTTGGGTAAATGCCATTAAACCTGAAACTTTCACCGAATATTTCCATTTTCCCTGTCCGGACGCGGTGCAATATTCTAAATATTCCGGCATATTTTCGCGTTAGTATTACACAGCTATTCGACATTTTCGAGTTTTCTTGGCCATGAGTTAGCGATTTAAAATATCGGAGACGGAAAAACACGGATAATTTATTTTATTATATAGTTTCGACGTGTGTTCATAACCGTGAACTTCGCTCAGAGTCGGTTTTCGTTTGCGACGATCTATTGTTGCGTAAAGAAACATAAACCGAAATCACGTCTGCTCGCCTTTCGTCAAACTCGCCGGCTACAACAGCGGCCCGCCCACGGTGCGAAAATACGTCTTTCTTTTTTTTCTCGAGAACGTTTTTTTTATCGTGGCGATGAAACAGCTATACGAACCGATCCACGGCCGGGTCACACAGGCTAAATTCGACGTTATTCTTATTTCGGTTTGACGAGGATAGACTATAATAATATACAATATGTATCGTATTGTTTAGCGAACGAATTTTAAGACGAGCTGCAACGTGCAGTTTATCGTCAGTATTAAATTTTTTACGATTTCGACATCGTACACACGCATTGTACGGTACCGCCGCCGCTGCCTCAGCCGCGGCTATTGTTTCTATAATTTTATACGTTTTCGTCCGCGTATATTGAAATATTATGCGCTCATAAAAAAAAAAAAAAAACGACCGAGGATAATATTTTTCTCGTTAAGTCGCTTCGCAAAACATTAAATTAGAACGGCATTTTCGGACGCCCGAGAGGGAAAAATGATAAAAATTACCAGAGCTCCCTATATATTTTACGTATTCACGTGAAATAATTGCTATATAAATCCGTTTAACCGTGTGCTTAAAAAACTCGTTTACACGTATTCACATATATTTACGTATTTCACGTATTTTCCTTTGTTACGTGTTCACGCGAATAACGTTAAAGCACGTGAACACGGACTCAGTTTTTCACGTAATTTTTCCGGAAGGAAATTTTCCTAGGGTAGTATTTTAGGGAGGTTAATTTTTGATTTTCCCAGGGGAAAAATGGGAATAACCAAGAAAAAACGCAGGAATAACGGGAAAATGTACGAAATCTATTTATTTTAAAATCATAAATATTATCGGCTTTTGAAACGTGTGTAACTGAATTCAGTGCAGAACTAAATTTTCGTCAGCAATGATCAGTCGTTGCGAACAGATACATTTTCCCTCTAACAGTGGCCTACCCATTGTGTGAAATAAGTCTTTTTCTTTATTGTCTTTTTAAACTATAATAATAATTACCTACAACTATTTTATTATTTTCCGGCCGTGGACGTGTAGTAATACAAAAAATAGGAAAAATAAAAAGGGGGGTGTTGAAAGTGTTAGGAGGGGGGGGGAAATATAAAGTTGTGGTAGGGTGTGATAGTAATAGACTAAGACACTAAGTATAGTAATAGAAGACAAAAATATTTGAAATAATAGGATATTACGTAGAAGTACCTTCAAAGTATAAAATATAGAGGAGTAGGTACAAAAATGTACCTATACAATATAAAATAATTGATCTAGTTTTTGGTACTACAAAGAATAATTTATCTTTAATCATAATAAAAGTTCAGCCTACCAATTATATTACTACTTAATAGTAGGGATTTAGGGTTGCATGGAAATCACAGAGATCGTGACGTTTTAAAATGTACGTTTAACAGAACATTGCTCAGAATCGTTTTTCGTTGTCAACGGAGAACTGTCGGGTATATAGTTATAATAGTGATATTACACTATGTATAATAAATTCTACCATCCCCAACTTTTTGTACATGCTCTTTTATTTGTTATTTCGATCCGTGGAAAACGCGAAGGAAAAGACCGATGTTTATGGCGTTTCTTTGTTTGTTTTGTTTTTTTACGACTTTTTATTGTGTTTTTCATCAGCACGTAGGTTACCGACGTATTTTCAACAAAAAAAAATAAAGAACTTTTGCTAGTAAAGTAAAAACACGCGCCAAACGACACAATAACATAACTGCACGACGTGTATATGTGTAATTTTTTTTTTTCTATCGTCGTCGGCGTTTGCACTTTCGCGTATTTCATCATTCACGGGAGAACGACAAAATTAACTTTTGATGTTTCCGGCACGTATAGTATTCTTTTTACGCGCGACCCTTCCCGGACCGTACCCACCCGCCTTTACGCGACCCGTACGCGACACGATAACGTCGAGGAAGGATTTCAGCACTCGTGGTCCGGCCGAAAACAATACGGTCGACCACAATACGCCGCCAACGGGATTGGCGGGGGGAAAGAAAAAACAACGGGCGACGTGGCAAAAGTTTTGCGGTCGTTGCGGTGGAAATCGCCGGTCGGAAAACCTAGCCGACCACCTGTCACGCAGAATCCATGTGTACCCTCGTATACGTATGCGTATAGTTTGTTCAAATAACAATTGTTTTCACGCGGTTTTTCGGTCAGCGGTCGCGCTTTCGTGTGTCCTCAGCGGTACAACCGTTCGGGGAAGGGGTAGGGGTAAGGGGAATAGAGGAGTTGAATGCGGGGCGGGCGGTCAGGCGGATGTTGAGCTGCCGGGAAGTTTCACATAAAAGGCCTCTAAAAAAAAAAAAATGCCAATGACTTTTTATTTTTGTTTTTTCGCTTATTGGACTTAAACACTTCGGACTACACGCACCCTAATTTTTGGTTTATGTTCGGTCATGATGCCCGTCATTACCGGGGGGGGGGGGACGAGAGCCGGTCTGAGGGCCCCAAATGGGAAGCCTCTCGGGAAATTTTATTCCGCGGTACAGATCAATATTATGATAATTATCATATTATACGTTTGTTCGATCGGACATTAAGGTCACATTACATATTGATATTCGCGTTACATTGGCTTCTCCGCGCTATATACAGGGCCGCAGAAACCGTTTTTAAAAAATAATAATCTTATTCTTTTTTTTCTTCTTAAACGTAGATTTTATTTGAAAAAATATGTACACGCTTTAAACGTGTTTTAAAAATTATTTTTTTTGTCTATTCCAATGAGAATAGTATATTATTATTCATTATAAAAAATGATATTATAATTATTAACCAAAAACAAAATAACAACAAAATGTTACTTTATTTTTTTTTTATATTTGCAAAATCAATGAGAACCGTTTATATTTTCAGAACGAATAGAAACTATACAAACGTCTTCACTCTTCAAAACATGTTAGCTATTTTAATTGCACTTTTGAACATTTGAAACATAGTGTTTAAAACACTTCGCAACACTGCCAAGTATATAGTCGAAAACAAACAGATTTAATTCGTTTCGGTAGGACGTAAAATCGTTTTCCCTTTATAATTATAGGGGCTTTGAAAATTTCGTACGACACGGTCACGTTTTTAAGACACTGGGTATACGACGACGGTACACATTGTAAAGAGATTTCCGGGGGGGGGGGGGGGTTTCTTTTTTTTTTTTTTTTTATTATGTCCGCCGAAATAACTCCCGGCCGAAGAGTTGAATACGCTGCTTTCGACTACGGTCGACGTCACGGCGTCCGACTCCACCGGCGATATTAACGGCTACGCGCACGGTAATAATAACAACGTCATAACAACACACCGGTTTCGAAATCTCGCGTCCCGCGTGCCGTTCGCGATCGCGTTTTCCGGCGACGAACGCGCGCGCAATACCTCAACGTCACCGCGGTCGCCGCCGACGATAACGAACACTAATAACGGTTGCGGTCTCGCGTACAATACGCCGGGACGTGTGGCGCGCGCGTCCGTCGCCCGGCGACATTTGTCAACGTTTCCACTCGCGCCCGTCCGGACGGGCGACCGCGGTTCGGCCGTGCGCCGGTGCGCGACGACCCGCCACGGAATCCGCCTGAATTGAATCCGCGGGGTTTTTTTTTTTTTCCGGTCTTACGCGGCGCCTATTACGTATATTTCGGGTCGTACCGGCGCGCGTGTACCGCGGACGCGCCGATATCGCATTTTACCGATAACCGCGACCGCGATAGGCGGCCGACCGCAATGTCCGCTAATCGAGAACCGTCGGTTATTGCCGGCGTAACGTCGAAATCGATCGATATACCGTCGGAAAAACGCGGGAAAACTTAACGAAAAAAGAACGCACACGCTGGGCCGCTGGGCCGCGTGGGCGCAAATAGACCGCCAGCTTTAGGGGCGCTAAAACGATAAACGCATCAAAGACCCACGAGGGATATTTTCCCCCGCTGACCCACTTTACGCGGCTCTTGCAACAGGCAACGTTTCATTTGCAATTGCCCGTACACAAATTTATCATGACTATTTTAATATTATTTTTTATACACACATGCATTGTTTCTATAGACACGATACATATATAGGATATCTGTATTTTGTTCAGCTCGTTAATCACGAAATACAGGAATAACATATTTATTCGTTATTATGAAAACGTTGATCGGGATATTTAGGGGTGCTCAAGTCCAACCAGCACCTCCCCTAGTTTCATCTATGGCTGGGCCACTGTCTTAAGTGGGACGTTGGGATGGCGGGATGTAATAATATATTTATATCCGTAGCCTGTTTTTAACGAAAAACGATTATGACAATTCGGACTTACGTGAAACGTGTTTCGAAATGTTGTGATGTTTGAGGCTTTCGTCAAAATACGAATTTGAAAAAAAAAAACAATCCACTCATGTCGAACGTTTTTTTAAATTCGCGAACGTTTTTCCTGGGCTAAAATAATTATGTCTACACAAATCAAACATAAACGAAAAAAAACAAGCAAATCAATTAAAATGGCTATAGATTGATCGAAAATTGCTCAGACGTTTTGGAAATTTTACTACGTCTAAAACGGGCTAATATAAATATTCCGCGAAAATGTTTGACGTCTACAAAACAAAATAAAAAGAAACCAAATCCAAACCGTAGGTATTGTGTAAATAATTTCGTTTTTCCGATTATTAAAAAAAACTAAATGGAAAATGAAAAACACAAAATAACCTTTTCAACTCACCGACCGTAAACAATACGCTACCGGAAACCACCTTTGAAGTAGGATGATTGGAGAAAGATTTCCGATAGAAAAGTTGTTTAAAAATAGTAAAAAAAAAAAAAACACCGCGCACACACACATACACACATCATAGTAAAATTGTTACGCATTCGTCGCCACGCCCGGGATCTAAAAGGACGCTGAATAATTACTCGGTGACGATACGAATCGAAGAGCGAAAAAAATAAAAGCAACGGACAGAGAATATAAACGAACGGAATCCGGACGATCGGGTGTGTGCGACACATAATATGATCCTTAGAGGCCCGGAAATGCCGTCGGAAAAGGATAAAAACAAGAACGACACATATAAACAATCATATTATATCTTATTGCATACCTATAACCAATGAAAACGTAACAGTAAAATAACAAAAAAAAAAAATATAAAATATATTATACGGTAAAAAAAAAAAAAAACACCTTTATTATAGTACTGAGCTTCGTATAATATCATAGGGCATAGATCGAATGAATTAAATTATTTTGTTTTTTTTTTACGAGGTATCACAATAAAAATATTGTGCAATATCGTTTTACGTCACTCGCGCGATAGCCGTAAACACGATCTCTCCCGCGAATGTTTACGGGTCTCTCATTGTTTTTTTAATTTATTTTTTTTTTGATTTCTCGATCGTGTAAATAAGATAATCGCACAACGCCCGCACTCGAAGCGACCTCTGCGAAAGTGCCGTCGCATGTTGTCTGGGCGGTTTGAGTGTTATCACCTACTATTATTATTATTGCGATTGTGTTCCAATAATCTTCTCGCGTACCGGTTCCGATTTTGGATAGCCGAAAACCGAAAAAAGCCGGACATACTTTTCGCACCGCGGGTAGGCGAGAGGTTTGAATCGGTGTACAGGAATACGTATTTATATATTGCGTACACGAGTGTACGGATACAGGATGATTGGCGAAACACCGTAATGAAAAAACCTATTTCGAACGGACCTCGGTAGACCGGCAAGATTGTAGCGAGAGTCTAACGTTTTTTCTCGCCCCTTCGTCAAATAATTTACCGTGCAGAAATCAACGAAAACGAAAACGACGCGTCGTAGTCGTTTGTATTGTTGTTTGTTTCGGGTTTTTTTTTTTTTTTTAATTGTCGAAAAACAATTGTTCTGGAACTCGGGTTATCACTGACACAGGCGATTCTCTTTACACAATAAAATATCCTTTAATTCGCATTTCTCTTCCCCGGGCCCTTACAAACTGGGTACGATTCGCTGCAGTATAGTGTATTTCCATTATAATCGTATAATTTCGACGTCGGGTACCTGCGGAACTTTCCGTACGAGCGGCCGCTCCGGCTTTCGGCCCGGCGATATATTTCGGATTCCCCTAATATTATCGGGGACAGCGTCGGTCGCCCGCGCGAATTCTACTTCTAATATATGAGGCGTGTCGTTGAGCGGTCCCGATAAATTACGAAAAACGTTTCGCGCCGGGAAACGTCGCGATAACCCCGAAATCGGTACCGTCGTCGTCGTCGTCGTCGTACGCATTATCGAATAATATACGGGGCGATCGACGAAACGCGCAAGACTGCCGGCGTACAACCTCGGGAAGCGTCGCATTTCCGTTATTCCGTAGGTCGACGGTGAAAAGCGACGTCGCGCCTCCGAACGCGACGGTGACGGAAAATAACGGAAACGTACCGTTTTACAGAGGTGCCGGCCGTTTCCGACGGACGCGAGGGCGGATTCGAGAGAGGTGCCCAGAGGGCCGGCCCACCCGCCTTGACGGTTGTGCCATATGTTTCGTAGCTGTAATAATACGCAATATCGCAGTTCGAATCGCGGTTAGACCAATAGTTTTTACGAAAGTCGATCATGTCGCTACTTATCGATTGTAATCTTATCTGTATTTTATGTTTAGTGTTTATTTTTCAAAATTGTTAAAACAAAATGTTAGCCCTCCCCCCTCCCTCAAAAAAAAAAAAAAAAAAAA